GTTCATATTAAATCAGTTCATAATGATTCAGTTCATATTAAATCAGTTTGTAATGAATTAGTTCATAAAGAATCAGTTCATAATGAACCTGTTATAATGAATCAATTTATATTAAGTCAGTTTATAATGAATCAGTTTATAATGATTCAGTTCATAATGAACCTGTTTATACTGAGTCAGTTCATATGAACTTGTTTATAATGAATCAGTTTATAATGATTCAGTTCATAATGAACCTGTTTATACTGAGTCAGTTCATATGAACTTGTTTATAATGAATCAGTTCATCAGTTCATAATGAATCAGTTCATATAAACCTGTTTATAATGAATCAGTTCATATTAAATCAGTTTATAATGAATCAGTTCATATTAAATCAGTTTATAATGAATCAGTTCATAATGAATCAGTTAGTAATGAATTAGTTCATAATGAATCAGTTTATAATGAACCTGTTTATAATGAATTAGTTCATAATGAATCAGTTCATATTAAATCAGTTTATAATGAATCAGTTCATAATGAATCTGTTCATAATGAATCAGTTTATAATGAATCAGTTCATATTAAATAAGTTCATATTAAATCAGTTTATAATGAATCAGTTCATATTAAATCAGTTCATAATGAATCAGTTCATATTAAATCAGTTTATAATGAATCAGTTCATATTAAATCAGTTTATAATGAATCAGTTCAAATTAAATCAGTTTGTAATGAATCAGTTCATAATGAATCAGTTCATAATGAATCAGTTCATAATGAATCAGTTCATATTAAATCAGTTTATAATGAATCAGTTTATAATGAATCAGTTTATAATGAATCAGTTTATAATGAATTAGTTCATATTAAATCAGTTCATACCTGTGGTCTGAGGACTCACAAACTGATCTTGTGGAATTAAAAGCAGTGATCTGTCTGTCTGATGTTTGTTTGTTGCCATGGTAACAGTTCGAACATCACTGCAGACGTTTGACTCACATTTCTCTGTCGGTCGCCTGGCAACGTGGGGGGATGAGTCTCTTCTAGAGGAAGGTTCTCCAGGCTGCAAGAGCAAACATCAAGACTGAAATTCACCTTTCTGTTTACTGCAAAGAGTTGTTTGTAAAGAGAAACAAGCAAAGGTGAGACGAGGACGAGCTGTGGGACACCTGGTGTCCTCCTCATCAGAACCTCTGAGGAGACTCACCGTCCGAGACACTGGAGCCGACAGCGTGGAGATGGGGGGGCGGGCAGACACAGCAGGGGGTGGGCCTCTGGTGGGCATTTGGTTATCTTTCCTGTCTACACACACACACACACACACACACACACACACACACACACACACACACACACACTTTTAAAACTGCAGGAATCTCTCTGGTTTTAGTTGTTGATCTGGGCAGTTGATTTATGTACAACAGGTAAGATATTGATGTGAGGGTACCGATGTAGTCTCCCTCCCCGATGGGCTGTGAGGGACGCAGGTTGTGGTCCTCGGTGTGTTCGGTGGGAGGAGGCTCATAGTCCGGGATCGCGTCCTCATTTGGGGACTCGTAGTCCCCCCCACTCTCTTCGTCATTGTCACTGTATGGACTCTCATAGTCTTCGTCAAAATCTTCATCCTGTTGCAGCAGAGGCCAGAAATTAGTCCTGGTTCTGTCAGTGAACCCACGAGCTTCTGAAACACAACAACTGCACTTTAACTCTGAGGAGCTGAAGACAGAAGCTTTTAGCTTTCAGCTGTTTCTGCTGTTAAACTCCCGCAGATCAGCCTCCCTGCCCTCCCTCCTGAGCCTCATCAGGCATGAAGGAGYTGTTTGGTTTTAAAATGGCTTTGTTGATCAGTGAGTAAGAAATAAGAGCAGAGGGTCTCAGACTCACAAACTCGTCTTCGCCCCATCCTCCCTCAGTGGGCTCTGCAGAGAGAACACATGTTCAAACTGAGACAACCTGAGACTAACTGAGACAACCTGAGACTAACTGAGACAACCTGAGACTAACTGAGACAACCTGAGACTAACTGAGACAACCTGAGACAAACTGAGACAAACTGAGACAACCTGAGACTAACTGAGACAACCTGAGACTAACTGAGACAACCTGAGACAAACTGAGACAAACTGAGACAAACTGAGACAAACATGTTCAAA